TTGTTTTTGAATGAAAATTATTCTTTCAAATAATAGTTATATTTAAATTGAATTAAAATTTCTACAAGGATAGTTTCATGACATATGGATAATTTTATTCAGGGATTAAATCAGAAAGAAATATAATTCTTCTAAACAGGTTTAAAAAAAAATTCAAAATAATATTCTTATTTTATTTTTCACGACATTATTATTATTATTATTATTATTATTATTATTATTTTTTCTTTGATTTTTGGCGTTTAATATTTTTCCCGGTGATTATTTTTTCAGAAGGGACATTATATTTAGAAATGGTTCTGACACTTCCATTGACAAAAAGAAATTACAAAAAATTATTATTTTAGGATTTTTGGCGTTTTTTTATTTTTTCCGGGTCCCGCCCAGGGACCCAAGAGGAAACGGCATCAGAACACTTTCCACTGACAAAAAAAAAAAAAATACATAGATAAAGCCCTTCGTAAAATAAAATTGGGCTCCAGATATTGTCAGAACAATTTTTGTATCTCCTTGAGGCATGGACTTCCAGGAATTTTCAATTAGTCTTATTTCAATTATTATTATTATCATTATTATTATTATTATTATCGATCGTTATATTTCGACTTCTGCTATGGTCACACAAACTATCAAGTCTGCGGGTAGACCTAAGGCAGGCAGTAGTGTGTTATTTCATGAATTGTTTTTCTAATTCCCATGACCTCAAAAGCGTTAAATAAGCTAAGTTCTTTTTAGTTTGTGTGCTGTATTAATCAAGACAATTTTTGTATTTCTTTTAAGCTGGCGTTTTACAGGGATTTTTTTTTTCAATGTGTTGTTGTGTTCCTTTTTTTATCATTCCAAGCGCATCTACTATGACTGGTACCGTTCTTGTTTTCAATTTCCACATTTTTTTTTCTATTTGTATTTCCAGGTCTATTTACTTCGATAGTTTTTTTTTTTTTTTTTCAAATTCCTTGGTTGCTATGTTACAGTTTTTGAGCAAGCCATATCAATTAGTAGATAAGTTTTTTTTTTTTTTTTCGGTTTTTAACAATTATATCCGATCTATTTGCTTCAATCTTCTTCTTCTTCTTCTTCTTCTTCTTATTATTATTATTATTATTATTATTATTTTAATTTTTGGAGTTTACACATTTCTTTCCGGGTCCCGCCCAGGGACCTAAGGTTAGAAATGGCATCATGACACTTTCCAATGACAAAAAAATATATATTACATAGATAAATCCCTTCGTAAAGTGTGGGCTGTACTTGTCAGAACAATTTTTTGTATCTCCTTGAGGCATGGACTTCCAGGAATCCCTTCAATTAGTCTACTGCAATCTTTTCCAACCAGTTCTAGCGCTCCAATTACAACAGGGATTGTTGATTGTTGATTATTATTATTATTATTATAATTATTATTATTATTATTATTATTTCCTTTGATTTCTGTTGTATTCACATATCTTTCCGGGTCCCAACCAGAGACCTAAGGTCAGAAATGGCTTCATGACATTTTTTCTGATGTTTTTTTTGTAAAAACCAAAAACACAAGATCACACACATTTTACATAGATAAAGCTCTACTTCATGTGTGAGCTGTACTTATGAGTATGATTTTTGGTATTTCTTCAAGGAAAGCATGGGTCACCAGGAATTTCTTTAATGAATCTGTCGGAACTTTTTCCTATCAAGCCGAGGGCTCCAACTACAACTGGGATTATTGGCGTCTTTATGTACCAGATTTCTAAGATTCCCCCTTCAAGATTTTGATAACTTTTTGAAGATCTTCAAAGATACATTACAATCTGCAGGGATTGTCATGTCAATAAGAAAGCATATTCTGTTTTTATGTTCGTTGATTAAGATATCTGGACGATTAGCTTTGACTGTTCTGTCTGTGTGTATTTTAGAGTCCCATATAATTTTTACATGTCCTGTCTCTAAATTCGGGTTTTGTGATGTTCATACCAGTATCCTAAGTTTTATTTCCGAAAAAGTTGCATATTATAATTATTATTGTTTTATTTTCTTTGCTTTCTGGTGTATAATCATTTTTTTCCGGGTTCCTACCAGAGACCTAAGGCCAGAAATGGCATCATGACATTTTCCACTGAGCAGTTTTGAAAAAATAAGTCGCATATATTTTACATAGATAAAGTTATGAAATGGACAAAGTCGGAAAAATTTTTTTAAAACATTTTTATGTTTATACATTCTTTTTATAGATACAAATATTTAAGTAAATACTCTGTTTTATAATAAACAGTATTAACAACATTTATCGGCCTGAATGTCCAAGAAAATATGCGTCCTCCGACAGAAATCGAACTTGTATCCTATACAGAACCGTCAAAAAGCCTGACGTGCTTTTACCGATTGGGACACAGAGGAGCGTTCGGATAGCAAGGTCGATTTTACTGTTTTTAAACTACAATTCTCCATGATTTTCTCTCATACATTCATATCTGCTCGATGCGTATCCAAATGTAAACACACATTATGAAATGGACAAAGTCCGTCAATTATTTTAAGACATTTTTTATGTTTATACATTTTTTTTATAGATAAAAATATTTAAGTAAATGCTCTGTTTTATGATAAACAGTATTAATAACATTACCGGCCTGAATGTCCAAGAAATTTTCATAGGAAATATTCGTCCTCCGAAAGGAATCGAACCTGTATCCTATTCGGAACCGTCATATAGCCTGACGTGCCTTAACCGATTGTGACACAGAGGAGCGTTTTCGGTTTTACTGTTTTTAAACTACAATTTTCTATGATTTCGAACCGAACTCCTTATTTCGTCCACCGGGATAGATTGTTCTAGTTCCATCTGCCATGCCTCCTCCGGATGTTTCAGTTATTTCCCTTTAATTGAAACATCCGGAAGAGGCATGGCACGTGGAACTAGAACAATCTACCCCGGATTCGTTTCGAAATTCTAATCACCTGAAGAAGGCCGCAGCATACAACGTCCGAAACGCTGTGAATATGGCAATGAAGAGGAGGATAACGGTCCGAATAAATTTAAAGAACGCAAGTAATCATAATACCTCATCTCAGGGATATAGACCGATATAAATAAATATACTGATCTATAAATAAACGGGGCTTCTACTCAAATATGTGTTACGATTTTTTGGGTATATAATGCCTATAACTAGTGAGCGAGTCAGAATGACTTATTTCCCTTTATAATCGACCAATGGAAGGTTGACCAATTAGAAGCCGCCTAACACTGTATTCGTCGTGTATAAAGGCGGCCATCTTGTTTCGTCTACCAGAAGGACCAAAGGTGACCAGGAGAAGGATGAACTACACTCTGCTGTGATATCCACTGCGAACCTTCACTACGCGTTCCTACTGTCTCCGAAATATTCACTGCCAACCCTTGGATTCAATACTCAAGGACGACCGTCATGGAAATGTCTAACAATATGGGTATCCACTAAAGATGACGTTTAAAGCGATAACATCCGACGGATCAATAAATAAATAAAAATCGATTGCTTCTTTAGAAATTGAGCTGTTTTTGCGACGTAGTGTATTCTTTGATGTCTATGTCAGAGGCATTTTTGGATTGCCTATCTCTGTGTTTTGTTATCTGTGCGTGCGGGTGTGTGATTTGATATATATGATTTTATTTTGTCTTGTAGCATGCTCTGGGCATTGAATACTTTTTTTTTGTGGGGGGGGGTTATTGCGCGTATGCTTTGATGAATACGTATTTTGGCGTTTATACTTGTATCTTGATGTATGCTTTATTACGTGCATGTAGTGGGGTCTGGAGCAAGTGTTGGTGTGTTTATCTGTGTCTTACAGTCGATAATCAAGAGGGATAAACGCCGTAAAGAAACCCGTAACTTTCTTATCATATTCAATCCACTTAAAATCTGCCAACCAACCAACGGAGTGGAAGATAAGTTACCTCTGAAGTTATCTCCTTCTTCTCTGTTTCGTTTAAACCAATTTGCCCTTCTGTATATGTTACGTCGGAAATTAGGTGTATTTACACAGCAAGTGTTCATTTAAACAAGTTTTGTTAAATAGAAAAGATAAATCGCGTCGATTATATATTTTTAAATTGTTTTTTTCATATTTTTTTTCTTCAATTAACTGATTGGATGTTAGGATCGGTTAATTTACCGACGTATCCACCATGTTGGATTCATTTAATATTGAATGTACGTCTTAATTGACAAAAATCATGATAAATAATAGCTAAGTAGAAATAGGTCCGGTTTACGCTAGCGACAAAACGGCAGATGTTGGTCTGGTTTACACACGATTTCAAAACATGCATAGGTTTGGTTTACACAACAATCATAAAGTATAAAAGTAAACTAAGGCCCGGTTTACACGAGAATCGATAAAGGTAGACAGGTTCAGTTTACTCGAGAATCGATAAAGGCCGACAGGTCCAGTTTAAACCAGAATCGAAAAAGGATAGACAGGTCCAGTTTAGACGAGAATCGAATAAGGTAGACAGGTGCAGTTTACACGAAAATCGATGAAGGTAGACAGGTCCAGTTTACACGAGAATCGATAAAGGTAAACAGGTTCAGTTTACACGAGAATCGATAAAAGTAGACAGGTCGAGTTTACACGAGAATCGATAAAAGTAGACAGGTCCAGTTTACACCAGAATCGAAAAAGGGTAGACAGATCCAGATTACACAAAAATCTATAAAGGTAGACAAGTCCAGTTTACACGAAATTCAAAAAAGGTAGACAGATTCAGTTTACACGAGAATCGAAAAAGGTAGACAGGTTCAGTTTACACGAGAATCGAAAAAGGTAGACAGGTTCAGTTTACGCAAGTAAACTGAATATGTTTAAGCTGGACCTGAACTTGCCAGCAGCACATATGGAATGAGGCATGAAATTGCAACGGACTACCACTGAAAGTATTAGAACTTCGAGAGCGCCTTCTGTAGCATGTCCATCATGCGTAGCCTCTTAAATCGTGGAGATCTGTTGTAATCGTCATCCGCTTGTTCCACCGTTAGGGTCTATGGTGTTCGTCGCGCTTCTATATTGCTGCCAAGACACACACAGACACAGATAGATAGATAGATAGATAGATAGATAGATAGATAGATAGATAGATATGAACAGACTGAAATAGATATAAACAGACTGAGATAGATAGATAGATATGAAGATAAATAGATAGAAAGATAGATAGATAGATAGATATGAATAGATGAAATAGATATAAACAGACTGAGATAGATAGATAGATATGAACAGACTGAAATAGATATTAACAGACTGAGATAGATAGATAGATAGATAGATAGATAGATAGATAGATAGATATGAACAGACTGAAATAGATATAAACAGACTGAGATAGATAGATAGATATGAACAGACTGAAATAGATATAAACAGACTGAGATAGATAGATAGATAGATAGATAGATAGATAGATAGATAGATATTATTGACGTTGGAGGTGTAGATAAGATTCGGCAAACTGATCTTCCTTCATCTGCTATGGGTTGTCACCTCCTACCAAAAAAGTATTGAGAACAATTTTCTTTTTATATGTCGTGTCCTTTCAGGACGTAAGCAATCATGGCTCTCCACTTCTACCCTATTACTTACCGCTCTCAATAAGTTTTGTCCCTTTGCTACTTCGAGGCCACGTTCTGTCATCCACTTGCTTAAACCCGCTAGGAAGGTCATACACTGCTTTCCATTGTCTCTCTTTCCCTCTGTTCGACCTGTGAGTATCAGATTCTCCAAGCCGTTCTTTCTCATTACGTGTCCCCAAAAATTTAGTTACCTGCTCTTGATGATAAGTATAAGCTTCCTCCTTTTTTGCATCCTCTCCAAAACCTCATCGTTGCTCAAATCTCGGTCCCTGATATCCCTAGCATCCTTCTGTAGAACCATGCCTCCACTGTCTCGAGTCTCTTCTTCATCTTTGAAGAGACCGTCCCATATTCGCTACCGTAAAGGAGGACGGATTTTACGTAACAGCTCAGGAATAGAAGAAAAAGCAATACAGCAATACAAAGCACATGTCCTGGATTCAGTTTATCCACTTTCATTGACACTGTCACACACTGATAAGGTCTGTATGAACATCATTTTGGTGGCATCGAAAATTATATTATCTTGGGGGTAACACGACTTTGGGGTCACCCTGTAGTTTAGGTCCGATGTCGTTACTCGCAATCTTTGGGGTTTTAGAAAACATGTTTTCGCTACAAACAAATAAATAGTTTAAATCACGACCTATGCGCTTACTTTCGGACGACACAGGAAAGAGACTGTTCTTGAATCTTATCTACAATATATATATATATATATATATATATATATATATATATATATATATATATATATATATATAAGAGAGAGAGACGAAATTAATCCCTCCCTAAACTCTTCCATGTCTCTTTTAACTACCCCTTTTACATTCTCTGTTAAATTAAAAAAACTTACACTACCCATCAATTTTAATTTCATTTTTCGTTTCATTTCATTTTTGGAAGTGCTATCTGATGATCCGGCGTCCTTTGAAAGGGCTCTGGTGAAATAAATTATTATAATGGTATCTTAAAGTGGTCTGTTTTTTTTTTAAATATTAGCTCTGGATTTACATTGAGCTCTCAGGATTTCATCCTCCTTGGGATTACCCATACGGATTACCAAGTTCTTCATAACTATATATATATATATATATATATATATATATATATTTTGTCAACATCTTTTCATTGAGACAGGTTTCATTGAATAATTTACACAAGTTTTGTCTAGTTATTTTCAATTGGATCCTTTCAGATGAACACAATTTTTGTCTTGAAAATCAGCACTTTGATGATGACATTGTGCTAATGTCGAAAGTTCCCGGAATAAATAATATGTATGCGGAGAGATGAATGGAGGTCTAACGCAATCACTTGTGATCACTCCAAACACCTTCGTAATCACCATTACACTCATCCAACTCTTTCCTAACCTTCTGCACTGCCCTCAGATTGACACCCAAACACTCTGAGATGTCCGTACTGGAGCTTCCTGCGCGAATGCCAAGCAGGGCAGCATGCCGCTTTCAAATTTCTGGCGTTACGGTGCTCTTTTTCTCACAGACGGTGCCCAACTGACCCTACTATGCTGTGCAGTCGGCAAAATGAAAAATTAAAAAAAAATAAAAACACACATGCGCGAAATGAAGAATATAAAATGGCGACAATTTACCCATCGCACCCTGTACATAGAACTAGATAGATAGATAGATAGATAGATAGATAGATAGATAGATATGAAGTCTGTAATAGATAGATAGGTAAGATGTGGCACAAGGTCAAAAGTATGGGGTACCTAGTGTGGATGGAACTCACCTTACAGTTGTAACAGATATAGCGAGACAAGCTTGCTAATCATTACACTACGCCGAGGTGCCCCGATAGATAAATAGATAGATGTGAAGACTGTAATAGATAGATAGATAGATAGATAGATAGATAGATAGATAGATAGATAATGTGTGTGTGCGTGTGTGTGTGTGTGTTGAAAAAACGAATGGGCACTTCAAAATCAGTACGGTATTCCTTGTGTGGGGTGAAGGCACAGAACGCACGTGGCACTATTAGTTGATTGGTCGACAGTAATGGGTGGAGGATGCGGACGACCCCGGGGATGAGGAAGTGTTGCGAAGGATGGTTTGGATTGCGGTGGCTGAGGGGTTGGTGGGACGCTAGTCAGGTGAAAGATAATACTCGTGAGAAGGTAACGTCTGTAATGGCGTATGTCTTAGAAGATATAAGCCTTCTTTCCGACTCCCGCTGAGGCGCGATGAAAACATGTGTGCACCATACCGTATCTCGTCAGGCCCCAATGTGCTGAAAGTGTGCTAGTAAGCAGACATAAGTGTGTGTTGGGGGAGTGAAGTGTTTGGGGGTGGATGGTGGTGTTGATACCTTTGCCGGGGTCGAGGTGTAAGCTGTTAGGATTATGATTCGTAGTATTACTGGTAAGCATTACGTTTACGCGTATATATATATATATATATATATATATATATATATATATATAGATAGATAGATAGATAGATAGTAGAGTAATATCAAATATTAAAACTGATCCACAAAAAGAGCTAAATGTATTTATTATAACCTCATATGGGGGATAGATCTATTTCAACCGACGAAAACTTTGTCAGTCTTATTCACCCGGGGTGTGCAGCTATACACCGGTGTTGAAGAAGACTGACGTAGTAATATTGACGTAGTTTTCGTCGATTGACATAGATCTATCCCCCCCCCTAATATGTAGTAATTTTGGATTTTATTGTGTAATACTATATATATATATGGTGGACTCTCCCGTCGTCTGAGGGTCAAGCAGCCTCAACTCCACCACATATGATTTGATTATAGTGGTGAAGGCTTTGTATGCATAAACAACCAACCCCACTTCTTTAAAGGGTCTAATAGAGAGACCTGGTTCACTAAATGTATATTTTATAATATATTAAAAACCCTCTGCAGGTTTTGAATTCAAAGTCCTTTTAGACCAGTTGCCATATTTAAGGCTATAGAACCCAATCTGTCCTATTAATTTACCCATAGCTGGAGGAAGAGGATTCATTCCTCTAAACAAGGGTATTAGCACGTAAGTGAATGCAATGGATTCGACTAAATTACCCTCCAGCTATGGATAAATAGCAGGACAGAGTGGTTTTTTATTTTTTGGATGGCAAATGGTCTAGGAGAAGGACAAATCTGAATTCAAAACTAAAGAAGGGCCGTTTGGGGACCTTGTATATATATATATATATATATATATATATATATATATATATATATATATATATATATATATATATAAGTATATGATTGGTGTATATGGAAAGAATTCAATAACCAACAAATACTATTCTTAAAAGAGTGCTCAATGCAGAAAAGTAGAGCAGATATAATTATTTATTTAAAAAAAAATGTATAACATAAACATGTTATAAAATCACTACAAAAATAGCCATTTTGTTTCAACACTCTTGGTGTCTTATCAAGTTATTTTTTTTTTTTAAATAAATAATTATATATTATATATAAATAATATATATTTATATATATATATATTATATATATTATATATATATATATATATATATATATATATATAAATAATTTAATTATATATTATATATAAATAATTATATATATATATATATATATATATATATATATATAATTATATTTTTTGTTTTTAAATTAGTTTATGTGATCCCGACAAATTTTAAAATTTTGACAGTTGAAAAAATATTCATGAAAGTAGATATGTTTCGAAATATATCCAATAATGTATTTCGCCATTTCAGGCTTCATCATCTCTTAAAGCGAAAACGAAAGAAATGAAAAGCATGTATATGGATCTGTTTGATTTGGTTTGTTTTACGGCATATCAACACCTCAATGGGTTATTTAATGCCGACAAGATTTTTATTGATGGTAATTTAAAAAAAAAAAATATTGCTGGTATTAAAACCTATTTATACAATTTCATAGTGTTTTCACCCCGGGTTAACTATTTGTCAATATCTGGGTAACCTAACAGGTACTACCACCCTGGTGTCAGGGTGGGCCTCGGAACACCAACAATTAAGAGGTGGTTCGACGCTCCTCAAAACCTCCTGATCAGTATGCTTGCTGTTTATCGTCTTACCCAGGATGCCGGATGTAGTTTATCGTCATGCCCAGAACGGTTATGATATGTATTTGTGTATGTTTAAATAATGAAATCTTATTATTTTTCCCCCAATTAAAAAAAGAAAGAAAAAAGAATATTGAATTTATTTATTTCTTTTTTATTCACGAAAAAAGCCAGCAAAAAAATAAAAAAACAAATCTTTTACTTTCTACCCATTTTGAAGGATTATAACTTTCAACTCGAATACTGAAAGGAAAATAAACATTAACGACATTTTTAAAGTCACTCATTTTTTTCTTCTTTTTTTTCTCGTCACTAGAAACGCCAGTACTCTTCTCTTTGGATCCGAAGAAATTTTTCTGTTTCTTAATACTTTGCTTAGCTTTTGGAAGGCATCTTTCGCACTTCCAATGCCTCTTCGGATTTCAGTGTCGTACTCTCTGTCCTTTTATAATACTTCCCAGATATTTAAATTGTTGGAGTTGTTTGATTTGAGCCCGTCCAATTTCAAATTTACACAAATTAATACAAGAACTATTAATACAAAATACAAAAACTATTAATGTTAGTAGCAGTAATAATATAATCCTCCCTATTTTTTTCATAAGCAAAAGGCGTTGAGTTTTAAAACAATAATATCTGTTCACTTTTACTACGGATCAAGTGACACCAAGCCTCCATAACATTCATCAGTGCTGCTGCGATGACTATTATTATTGTTGTTGATCTCTAGATTTGTTCTTCAACCATAAACCAAAACTTTGAGATATTTCTGGAGATGTGTTTAAAAGCAATAAAAACTAAAAACTTTTTCAATAGGTATAAAATTTAAATGCATTTGAAAGTTGAATCCATACACACGCACATGTTATGTAATGTCATAAAAATTCAATAAATGCTTAAATATTAATTAATGACGGTAATTTAATTCTTTAAATTAAATATTGAATTATTTATTAAATTAAATATTAAATTAAATTAAATATTAATTAATGAAGGTAATTTAAATTTTTTTCATCCTGTTCCCATTAAGAATTTGGAACCAGTCCACAATTTTCATTGCCAACAGTTCATTATTTTTTTTTATTTAAAGGTTTGACATTTCATTTCTTATTTTTTCTAACGAGATGTCATTGGTTCAGATTTGATAGATCAGGTTTCAACATCATAAAATTATCCCTTTCAAAAAAGAAAAATATTTAAAAATTTAGTTTAGGATGGTAATATTTTCTACACATGTGATAAAGTTTTTGAAAGAAATTGTTGTCAAAAAGAGTTCTTTTTATATTATTTTAGAAAAATTTTTTTCTTTTGACTTAAATTATCCATTTTAATTCCAAAGTCCCCATGTGGAACAGATTTAAAAATATGATTTATATGCCAATCATTAAACTTCATCCTTGACAAAAATGTGGTTTCTGTTATTTGGTACAGGACCTTTTAGAAAAAGGTTTCATTATTTTCTAGTTTGTAAATTCAGTCCTTCTGTTATTATTTGTTCAAAGAAAACCAGTCCACAAGGTTCAAAGAAGGATGATCTTTGAATGAAACTCAATGAATTTAAGATATAACCATTTCAAATCAAACAGTTTTTTTTGATTCTTAACAAGTTTTTGCATGATCTTTGACCAAGTACATTTTGAAACAAGATAATCAGTTTTTGATGTTCCAAAAGATTTCAAAGAAAAAGACATTTTCATTATTTTAAAAAATTATCCAAAAGTTGAAAGAATCAATGTGGTTTCTGTTAAAAATGAAAAAAGACAAATTATTTGTGAAAATGATCCATTGTAGCACCAGTTTGAAACAAGGTGTTTCTGTTATTAAATTTGTTTTGAAAGACCAGTCCAAAAAACATTTTGCAAGACACTTTCAGCTCAACAGGCTTCATTGGAAACCATTTGTGGGAATTAACATGTCATCCATTTTAGTTGTTGCTTATAATTGTTGATAAAAGTCCTCATGTGATGTGGAAAGTCTGTTATGATTGGTTTATTGCATATTTGGTACAGTTCTTTTGAAAGAATGATTCTGTAGCTAACCAGTCCACAATCTTTCAAATTAAAATGGTTTTTTTATAGTTCTTTGTTTAAACTCAGCACCATTTTCATTATTTAAGATATCTTACATGTGATATCCATTTTAGTTGTAAAATATATGTTGAAATCCTCAAGATTGGTTTCTAATATTTGGTTTTCTGTTGTTATATTCTTAGCACCAGTCCACAAGGTTACAGTTCAATAAAAACTTACATTGATATGATGAATTCAAGGATGGTTTCAACAATATTCAAAATTGATGTATGAAGGACATTACTTCATTATTTTTCTTTGAAAATAACAAAGATTTTTAACTTAAATTGATTTCAAGGTTCAATTTGCCAAAACATCAGGCTTCATTATTTTCTCTTTCAAATCCATTTTAGTTTTTGCTGTTTTTCAAGCATTTTACAGTTCTTTGTTTATGATTTAAAAACCAGTCACAAGGTTTTGATTTTAAACACTCAGGAATTATTTTCTTTTATATGTGATATCCATTTTATTTACTGAAAGTCCTCAAGTGATGTGGTTTCTGTTATTTGGTACAGTTTTTTGTTTATGATTTTAGCAAGTCCACAAGGTTCAAAGATCAAATTTTCTCTTTTTACATTTTATCCATTTCATTGTTCAAAGTCCTCAAATGTGGTTTCTAACAGTTCTTTTTTTGAATAGCACCAGTCCAAAGGTTCAAAGAAACCTTGCCAAGACACTCAGGCTTCATTATTTTCTTTCTCAAAGAACATGTGAATATCCATTTTGTTGTTCATCCTGAAAGTCCTCAAGAGATTGTTTCATGTTATTAGTTTCTTTATTTTCTGTAGCCCTCAATCATCTTGACATCATTTTATTTTTTTTTTTTTACATGAAATCCATTTTTGTTGTTATTTTGAAATGTCAAGATTTTTATTTGTACAGTTCTTTATAACACAAGCAATTCCACAAGGTTCAAAGAAGGAAAAATGGAAAACATTTTCTTGACTTCAATTGATATCCATTATTTTCTGTTGAAAGTTTGAGTTACATTTTGATATCCAGGTTTTTAATTTTTTATTGCTGTCCAAAAGTCAAAGAAGGTGATTTAAAAAGACACTGTTATTTTTTATGTATCAACCTTGAAATCCATTGGATTTTATAAAAAAAGTCCAGATGTTCAGTTTTAATGATCAGTTTGTTTTGATTCTGTATTCAGTCCACAAGGTTCAAAAGGATTTTCAGTTTCATTATTTTCTTTGACTTACATATGATATATTTATTTTTGACTTCCATATTGAAAGTTGCTGTTGAAACTTT